CTCTCCCCTCCCCTCCCCTCCCCTCCTCTCCTCTCCTCTCCTCTCCTCTCCTCTCCTCTCCTCTCCTCTCCTCACTCGCCTGTCTTCCTTGCTCTCGTATCGCTGGGTCTTCAGGTACTTTCAGCTGCATGTCGGCGCCAAATTTGGCCACATCCCCTCTCGTGCCCCACCACGACTCATCCCGGATCGGATCTGTTGAGTGCAGGCCGCCGGAAGGTGACCGGAAGCAGCTGGACCGGAAGGACGAGGAACCCGGGCCTGGTATATAGTGGGGATGAGGGCTCATATGTCGCACGTGCCCTTGTCATGGTGAAAGCGATGCGAAAGGGAAGGAAAGGCAAAGGAGGAGGAGGAGGAGGAGGGAAAGGGAGGGGAGGAGGAAAAAGGCGTGTAGGAAACAATTTTAGTGGAGGAGTAGGACAAGCGAAAGCAGGTGCTCCGTCTGGAGGAGCTAGTTCTGTCAGTGTCAACCCATTCGAACGAAAAATCGTCAAGGAGAAGATCTCGGTGCTGGGGAGGAAGCGAAAGGGGGAAGGGAAAAGCTTGAGCAAGGGACGATCAGAAGCATGGGATAGGAGGAAACGAACTCTCGGTGTAGAGCTGAAAGATGGCGCAAGAGGAAACCTATTCCTCGATCGACGCTTTGGTGAGGGCGAAGATTTGACTGAGGAAGACAAGGCATTGTTGAGATTTCAGAGAGAGCGAATGGCCCGAGCTCGGCGAGGAATGGCTTTGGATGACGATGAAGAGGAAGATGTTCTTACTCATGGTGGGATGAGACTGGGAGAAGTGGAAGATTTCGAGCATGAAGAGATCTCGGACGACGAAGAAAGCAAGAACGACCTTGACAAGTATCACTTTGGCGGGTTCGTGGCAAAGAAAGGGAGGGAAGGAGAGGAAGAGGAGGAAAAACAAAAATCAAAGAAGGAGATCATGGAGGAAATCATTGCAAAGAGCAAAGCGTACAAGGCAGAAAAGAAAAGGGAGAAAGCAGAGAAGGAAGAACTATTGGAGCGCTTGAACGAAGAGTTCAAAGATATCTCTTCCTTCCTCGAAGCCAAAAAGAGGCCGACACGAAAGGATGAAAAGTTGAAGCAGCAGCAGGGAGAGGAGGAGGAAGACACTGAGCAAAAGGAGGAGGACGAGTTCGACCAGTTGGCTCGCGAGCTTGCAGATGACATGAAAGCGCAAGCAGCTGACCGACTCAAAACTCCCGAGGAGATGGCGAAAGAGAAGCATGACGCGCTCCTGCTTGCTGAAAAAGCTCGCATGCGGAGAATGCAAGGAGATTTCAGTGACGAGGACGAGGAAGGAGGGGGGCTGAAGGGCTTCAAGAAGCGAAGGGTGCGGTTCGAGAACGAAGCTAAGGAGAGGTCTGGAGATGCGCTAGAGGACGACTTCATGCCCCTGGATGGAAAACATACCAAGCTGAAACGGGGAGACTTTGCTGCTGCTGGAATTCTGAGGCGAGGGGAGGAGGTATCTGGAAAAGAAATCGATGAGAGTGAAGAAGAGGAAGAGGACGAGGACGAGGACGAGGACGAGGACGAGGACGAGGACGAGGACGAGGACGAGGACGAGGACGAGGATGGTGGCAGTGAAGCGGATGAGGAGCAGACAGCACAAGAGGAAGAAGAAGATGGCGATGATGACGATGATGAGGTAAAGCAGCTGTCAGATTGTACTGTTATCGCTCATGTCTTGATCGCAGGATGAGCAGTCGGAGGAGGGTCAAGTACAGCAGGATGTGGTCTCTGAGAGCGAGGAGGAGCACCTTGAGAGCAAGAGAGGCAAGCTGCAACATGCTGCTGTGACCGTTGGCAAACATCGCGATGTCGTGCTCTCCAAGGAGGAGAGAGAGAAGAGGCAGAGGGCAGCGGCAGAGGAGATTCCCTACACCTTCGCCATGCCTGAGGACGTGACGGGTCTCAATGCTCTCCTCTCCGGGCACTCGCTGGAGAACCAGAAGCTGATCCTTGAGCGCCTGGTCGCCTGCCATGCCGTCGCCGTCGCCTCCTCCAACCGCGATGCTCTCGAGCGTCTCTATGGCATGCTCATGCAGCGCCTCCTCCTCATTCCTGATCGTGACGGCGCCGAGCCAGACAACCAGGACGTGGACGCTGTCAGCTGGGGTCTGTTTCAGCTGACGCAGGCGATGCCGGGGTATGCGGCGAGTCAGTTCAAGTCGCAGCTCCTTGACCTCCAGCAGACACTCGCCCATGGCCTCTCTGACCCTTCCGGCCCGCAGTGGCCGACAGGAGGCGAACTGCTGCTGCTCAAGGCGACCCAGACGCTGTTCCCTTGCTCCGATCTTTCGCACCCTGTCAGTACCCCTTACATGCTCCTGCTCTCGCAGCTCCTGTCCTGCGCCCCTGTGTTGTCGCTGGCAGACCTCGGCAAAGCTCTCTTCGTTGCAAGCATCCTTGTCAGCGCGTGCGTGGAGGGCAAGCGCGTTGCGCCTGAGCTTATCTCCTCCGTCGCCGCCATTCTTTGTGAGAGCCTCCCAGCCCACGCTCAGGAGGCGATTCCTCGCTTGAGCCCAGCCGGGGCCCTGCTGGCCCAGTGGCATCTCTTTGACTCCAGAGAAGGAGGAAGGGAGGGAAGGAGAGATGGGCTTCTATACTCGACAGACATGCACGCCAACGTAAAGAACGAGGGGATGCTGAAGATGAGGATGCTGCTGCGGGGTCAAGTCGAAGAGAGCATGAAGGCAAGCGTGCTTGTCTCTGCTCTCAAAGTTGCCACTTCAGTAGTCAGAGGCTGCAGACTTGCGGGTGAGAATATTTCTGTCTCCATCCTTCTCCTTGTTTTCCTTCATACTCCTTCTTACTCTGCTGCAGGAACTGCCTTCGACACTGTCAACGGTCTGACCACTCTTCCCTACACCCTTTGGCTTTGATTTTCCCACTTGCTCATCATTCTTCTCTTCCCTTTCTCCACTTTCTCGTCCTTGCTTGCTATTGTGTCTTCCTGTCTTATCATCATTTGGTTTCCAACAGGGACTGGAAAATGTTCGGAAGGGGTTGTCGCAATGCTGCAACCTCTATTTGAAGTTGCAAACAGTGAGTCTGTGTCTTGTAACAAACCATGTTGATGGTCTTGTTTTTCTCTGGTGGCTGTCTTGTTCTTCTCTCCACTTTTTCTCGTTTATTCTCTTATTCTCCCGTTTTCCTCCCAGTCTTGTACTATTCGGGTTTAGGGAGAAAACTTGGAAGCAACAAACGTCAATCTGTTTCCCTCTCGCACTTCGTCATCTCCAGCGAGGCGAAGGACTCGCACACTTCTAATCCCGTGCTCCTTGCCCTCTTCGACCTCCGTCAAGCTCTTAAGAAAGCAGCCGACTATGCCAAGGTTACTTCCCCACCCCCACCCCACCTCTTCCCCCTCGCTCTTTGGTTCCCCTCCTTTCTACACCCTACTTGTCTTGCGCCTTCACAATCTCGATCATCTCTGTGCTGTTCTCCCTCCTCCTCTCTCTTCAGACATGTGATTGCACGTTGTCAGGACCCGGTAACAGGAGGCTACCTGCCCCTCCGCCTCTACGCTGCTGCTCCTCCTGCTGCTATCGCGCAGTACAACCCGAGATTCGAAGAATCCTTCGCTCCGGATGCAGACTTTGATCCTGACAGGTGGCGTTGAGAGAAGGGGAAGGAGGGGGAGGAGAACGAGGGGGAGAGAGCGGGAGAGGAAGGCGAGGAGAGTTGAAGGGAGGAGAGTGCAATGTGAGAGAAGGGCAAGACTAAGTAAGAGCGCAGGGAGCGAGCAGAGAAGAGGAAGATGCGAAGAATCGTCAAGCGAGAGTTCAAGGGAGCAGTCCGGGTGATCTTCTCATTCTCGCCCTGCCTGCCTCCTCCAGCCCCCTCTGTCTTTTTTTTCCTCGTCGAGTGCCTCATCTCCTTCATCTTACCTTGGCCTTGTCCTTGTCTGCCCTCCATTCCTCTTGATTAGCTCCTCTCTCCTCTCCTTCTCTCCTTCTCTCCTTCTCTCCTTCTCTCTTCTGTCCCATCCCCTCTGCCACTTGACCCGCTACATCCTCTCCTAATCCCTCCCGCTACAGGAGCTGCGAAAGGACAACATGTTCCTGGACGCGCAGAGGACAGAGCAGCTGAGAAAGCAGCGAGAGCTACGAGACGAGCGAGCAAAGGTGACGAGCAAAGCCTCCCTTGGTGCAAAAGATGTGACGAGCAAGCAGTCGATCGAGTCCTTCCTGGCGCAACAGCAATTCGAGGCGAAGCTGGGGAAGGGAAAGAGGAATGGAAAAGGTGAGAAGGCTAGGACAAGCAGAGGAGGAGGCGCAGGTCGTCTGTGACTGAACTTGCAGGGAGGAGGAGAAAGCGATAAGGGCGAGGGAGGAAGGGGAGGGGAGCAGGGTGTGTACATACAAGTTGGCAGTCGAGATAAACCCTTCAGTGCCACGTCATCGTCAAGGAGATTTAGCTGACATTCAGCACCGAAACTGTTAAAAAGCTGGGAGAGGAGAGAGGAGAAAAGAAGGTTGGAGGGGTAAGAAGGAGGAGCGGTAGGAGGAGCGGTAGGAGGAGCGGTAGGAGGAGCGGTAGGAGGAGCGGTAGGAGGAGCGGTAGGAGGGGCAGAGAAGGGACAGGGCAGGGATGGGATGAGGGACAGAAGGTGATGAGGCTCAGCAGACGGAGGAGAAGGGGAAGGAGGCGGAGACTCTACAGCACATGCGCCAGTGAAAGCACCTGGAGGAGGCAGGTCAGCATCTGACGCTCCTCAGTCCTACCGTGCCATGGCCCGTCGACCGACGCGTATGGGACCGGGCGACCATGATGAGCTAGAGATCGAAGAAACGCGAGACTGAGCGAAGAATGTGAGAAAGCAGAAGAGAGAAGGGGGAGAGCGAAGGTACAGACCGTGAGAGGTTGGAGGAGAAGTGACCGACAAGCGCGTCAGCCTGTCAGCCTGTGAGCGATGGAAAAGAAAATGAACAAAAGATGACTTGAAGGAGAAAAGAGGATGGAGAAGATGGATAGATCAAGAGGACGGAGAGGAAGCAGCAGGAGCAGCAGGAGCAGCAGATGCCTACCTGAGCTAGCAGCATGAGATCCCGAAGAGTGAACAAAGTCAGCTCGTGTCCGCTCAGTTCTCCTGCTCCCAGCCTGATACAAGTTTCAATATCAACTCCCTCTCTTCCTACCCTCCCTCCTCTCCATCCTCCTCATTCTCCACCTCCATCCTCCCTCTCTTACCCCTCCCGGTCATCCTCTTTCTCCCCCAATGCTCCTCTCCCTCCTCTTCCTCCTCTTCCTATCCTCATCTCCTCTCTCCCTCTTCTTCCTATCCTCATCTCTTCGCCTCCTCGTCACCGGTTCTCAAGCCAAACAGCATCTCCCGACTGCCAAGCGTCAGCATCTCGCACAGCAGGGAAGGACAAGACCTGCAACGAATTTCTATCGTATGACTGGATGGAAATAAAGGTCAGCTCGGGCTCAGCTCTGTAAACCTTCGATAAGCTGAGGAGAAGGTGCAAAGATGTTGTCAACTTTCTCAGCTCGTTGACAACTTGGGTGTCATCAGTTGCCACGAAAACCTTACTGTAGAAGTAGATGAGAAGGGGGAGGGCGGGCAAGAGGAGACAAGAGAAGACAAGAGCGAGCAAGAGGAAATAAGAGGAGCACCTGATGTTGTAGCGCGAAGACATGGCGCGGACATGCTCGAGGTGCCGTGAGAGAGGAACACACTGATACATCAACATCATCTCCATCGTCTCCTCCCTCCCTTCACTTCCTCCTCCTCTCACAGGGTCGCCCTTCCCCTCCTCTTCTGGTCTTCTTCCCCAACCCCTCAGTTCTGTCGCATCCTCGGCATCTACCTTGTTCCTGCGGAGAGTCGTGTGACAGGAGTCTCCTCGACGAACGTGAAGACCGATGATGGGATGGGTGTAGTTGATACTGCGAGATGTTAGAGGCCTCCCTGACTCCCCTCCTCCCCCCTCCTCCTCCCTCCTCCTCCCTCCTCCTCCCTCCTCCTCCCTCCCCCCCCCTCCTCCCTCCTCCTCCCTCCTCCTTCCTCCTTCCTCCCTCCACCTTCTCTTCACTTGCTCCTCGTCCACCTGACCAGTGAAAGTCAACCATCGCCGCTGAGACTTCACGTCAGCCCTCACATCTCGTCTGGTCTCCTCGTTCAACCGCAAGATGTACTCCATCTCAACGGCACGCCACCACAAGATCCCGTACTTCTTGTACCTGCAACATCCACACTCACTCCACATCCTGCCGTCTCCTCCCATCGATCGTCTCAAGCCTCCTCATATCTGCCCTCCTGCTGCCCTCAAGTCTTGACCATCCTGTTCCTTCTCTTCCTCTTCTCTGCCATACCTGGGAGGAACATAGTAGAAGTGTTCCACCACCGTCTCCGGCACGTAGACTCCGGGAATCTTGTGCTCATATCATTTCAAACCGGCACATCTCTAACCTCCCCTGTCTTTATCTTCTCTCTCTCGCTAACACTCCTCTCTTCTCTCTCTCCCTAACACTCCTCTCTTCTGTCCTCCTTCTCTGTCTCTTCATCTCCTCTTCCCAGCCCTCTTAGTGTTCGCACATCAGGGTTGACTCGTCTGGTCTCTTCGTTGGCATCCCTACAAGTGAATCAGCTTTACATCAAAGTATCAGTGACGTCACGTTGAGTTGTAGATCGGGCAGGAGGAGAGGGGCAGCAGGTAGCAGCTGAAGTCTCCTGTTTGCTCCGTCACGTTTCTCCGCCTCATCCGCCTCCTCACCTCGTCGCTTGCACGTCGGGTGGTCAAGCGCGTAGACCCACGGCCGCAGGCTTGACATCACCGAGCACTACCAGCGAGTGAGGCAGACGCAGGTGATCAGGGGTGGTCAGGTCAGGCAGACGAGAGTCAGTTCAGGGGGTAGTCAGGTGAGGGGTAGTCAAACCTTCTTCCTTGCCAGCCCCAGGTTGATCAGACCCGCCTGCTCCAAGTCAGCTGGACCCAACAGCAGGTGCAGCATACAATGAACTGCATGGTAGAGGCGAACCCCGCGTTGGGGAAGTAGAAGATTTGAGAGTTCTTGACAGGACAATGAGACAAGAAAGCCAAGGTTGAACGATTTCTCACATCAAGAGTACATTCCTCCGGATGCATCTGCTTGTGAATATCGTCAAGGGCGTTGTGCCAGTCTTCCTGTTCGCAGACGGTCAGCGACAGCAGAAACAAGAGACGAGCAGAGCAGCGAAAGAAAACAATCAAATAAAGGAAGGAAGAAAGAAACTAGCATGGGGAAGGTCAGTACCGGATTGTGCCAAACATCCTTCATCTCATCTATAGCCGACGGTGGAGGGTAAAACTCGATGTCCTGCGGGGGTCTCACTCAAAGTTCATTCCTTATGCTTATGTCACGGTGAAGATGTGCGTGCTGCAATCGTGACCGATCCAGTCTGGATCGCAAATACATCTCATCTGCCCTAATAGGATCATGTCAACAACACTTGTCAACCATCGCTTCGCTTCCTCCCCCTGCCCCACCACCAACCTTCTCGTCATTGCCCTCCCGCTTTTCTCTCCTCTCTCTCCATGTTCACCGTTTGCATTCTGGGCGCAATAACCATTGATACAATGTTTGGAGCAATCCCAGCAATTTGATCCTGCATGAAATTGTGAAACAAAATGAATGTCACTCCCACCCTCCCGCCCTCCCCTCTCAATCTCCTCCCCCCCCCCTTTGCTTCTTCTGTTTCTCCTCCTTTTCCTCTCCAACTTGCTCTCTTTAAATCCTCTTTTCTCGTCACATCCTCCCTTCCTCGCACTCTGCGACCTCTCATCTCATCTCACCGTAGAGTTGAACTTCTCTCAGCCCCAGCTGCTCTTGTCCATGCATCGTCACCTTGACAAATCTTCCCCTTGCAAGCACATGACCCCCATCGTGATGCCCACCGATGAATGCTGTAAAACAAGTGAGATCGATTCTTCGTCAACTCACTCCACAACGCAAGTATTGCATCACAATCATCATCACCACCACCACCACCACCACCATCATCACCATCATCATCATCATCATCATCATCATCATCATCATCATCACAACCATACCCCCTGGCAATTCTATCAAGGACGCGGTCTCAAATATCCGCACAGTCCAATAACAAGAATGAAATGAAGAAGGAGAACATTACAAACTGTTCTCGACGAAGGATCACTGGGAGGTTCAATGACATATCGCCCCGTTACATTTCCGTCTGCCCACCAACATCAACACCCTGATCGAGGCAGCAAAACTCAACCATCATTGTACACTGAGACGGCTACGTTGGAAGACATGTTCATCGGCCAAGCCTGCAGACTGTCGCATGAGCCCGTGAGCAAGTTGCAGCTCTGCAGCACCTGCGGGTATTGATCCGCTCCCCCGACATTCACAGCCCACCAGATGCCGATCGCGTGAATCTAAGAGGAAACACGTCATTCCCTCTGCTGCTGTCATGCCCTCCCGCTCACGTCCTGGTCTTCCTTCAAGTCTACCGCCCACCAGGGATCCATTTGCACCTTCGCCGTCCCATGTCAGGACATGCCGTCAAGAGCCAACACAAGCTGAGTTACTTGAGAGTAGACGAACTTGTGACTGTACGCGTCATGTCCGATAGTAGTACTCCCGTCCACAACAATGTCATGAGATTGATCGTCCTTGCAGAAAGATCATTCAGAGAGAGAGTAACGACCAACGCACCTGCAATGATGACATGGACGACATGCTGTTGAACGCAAGGTTACAGCCCCCATAAGGGTTTCTCACTACCCGAAGGTGTCACATGAAGCACAACTATCGTTGAGAGCATGGAGTACATCTTTTGAAATTAAGTTCTGATTCTTCCGAATCTGGAGGGTGAGGGCAGTACACAGGATCATCGCAAAGATAAGGACAGGAGCGATAACCTGTGCATCATTAACTAGCAGTCAGACATCAACATGACATGTTTACCGATGTAAAGGACCATCTGCACACTCGTAATCATGCTCCCATTCACCTTATGCAGCTCAACCTGCACGGGTTGACATGAGACTCATGGCAGAGGGTCGAAGAACGAAAGCAGTTACCCGCATGTCATACACATTGTCATGCATCATTTCAGAGAGATTGACAAGCAGCCACATGGGCAGAACTTCACAATCATGACATGGCGGCACCTTCCGAGGTCAAAGCGATCATCGTCCCGAAACCCAACAATCACAACAACAGCCTTGTCACTGCGAACCCATTCTAGGACTCATAATTGAAGCATCCATAACTCATCAATAACAAGCGCAATTTAGATTTAAAAACACAACCATGAAACAAGAATGGACAGATGACTATGAATCAACAAGAATCAAAATCTCAGACATCAAGTATCACAGTAGGACAGTGATACTGATCGGTCCCCTACCCTTGCTTCATGGATTCCTTCCAGCATCGACGAGATGTCGACATGCAGGTTGTTTGAGTTGAGCTCGTACGTGAAGAGGTCCAGTCTGCCTACTACTGAACCCTGAAGAACAAGTCAGGTGTAGATGACGTCAGCAAGGGGAGAGAGCAAGGGAGAAAGGAGAGCAGGCGGCGTGCGAACAGAGAGCGAGAAGAATCGAAGGGAAGAGGAGGAAGGGAGCATATGTGAGAAGAGAAGGTCAGCTACACCAATTTGAGAGGAGAGAGGGGGAGGAGAGCGCAGGAGGAGGGAGAGGGGACGAGGCGAGGGCAAGAACTCACGTTGAGTAGAACTGACGCGAATTTAGGGGAGGGATCCTTTTGCCAGATGTCCGAAGACAGTGCGACTGCCAAGGACAATTCTGTTTTGCTCATCGGTCACACTTGTACATTCTGAAACACCGCACCGAACATGACATCACACACATCTCTCTCGACACATCAATTCACCTTGGATGACTTCATTTCACACGATATGGCATCATGAACATCATAATATGTTTATAACAGCATGTCACGTTATGTCGTGGCATGTTGTAGCATGTGGTAGCATGTGGTAGCATGTCAAAGCATAAAGCATGTCACGTCACATCACAGCTTATCGCATCACATCACATCACAACGAGCATGCAAGACCTTGGGAGTCGAAGAAGCAGGATCCTTCATAAGGGAACAGGATTCTCATGTAAGCGCTGGACAGACGAACACAGAGGAGGGCAGGAAGAAGTAGTCGCAGGAGATGCATGGAAGGATACATGGCATCCGATGTCATTAGCTTACGCCCCTCCACCTCCTTGATGCCTCCTCCTCCTCCCTGTCGTCTGCCTTCTGTCCCTTCCTTCTCCTGCCATTGCGACCCCGAGAGCTTGCCTCAGAGTAGAGAAGTCAAGAAAAAGATCAACAAGGAGAGTGAGCAGGCCAAGACAAAGAGAGATACAAGACAAGACAAGATCTGTACACAAGACTAGCCGTCTCAACATCTGAACCAAAGACTAGCCATCTCAACACGACTCCTGTCATCTCAGCATAATATCGCACTAGCAAACTGCTGCCTGCTACTCTCAGTCGCGATGGCTAGCACAAGGCAGAAGGAGATTGCCAGGCATCAAGAGTTTGTGGCATGAACAAATTGTCGCGACGAGAAGATGGGAGGAGGAGCGTTCCTGTTTCGCGTCTCACGAGCTCTCTGATCGCACACACGAGAAGGTGCCATGCACTTGCATCCTCCAAGTCTGAGACGCTTGTCAGGTCGCATACCGTCGTAGGGTTTCATGATCAGCGCCAGGAAGGAGCGCTTCAGTTTCGTGAGGTCGATTACGCGAAGCAAATGCGGGAGCTGCTGGAGCGGAGCAACAGGATGCACGAGCTTACTGAGGAGTACGAGCTGAGAAAGCAGAAAGAAAAGCCAGCTGGGATAGACGAGTATGAGGTGAAGGGTTGGTGTGACTTGATCGTGTTCTGATGGTTTACAATGAAGACAAGAGTCGCCAAGGAGTGTGATGAGATGTTCTCTCGGTACACCTTCCTTGACCCTGGCTCCTTGTCTGCCGCAGCTCAGGATGTGTGTTATGCTCTTTTTAACCATCTTTCACTGACGTGGATGTGCGGCAGGTCAGTCAACGACTGCAGAATATCGATGTGCAAGCAACGGCAGCAGCTTCGCCAGAACAAGTTTGTCGACGACGAGCTTTGACGAGATGTCAAGCTTGATGCAGATGGCGAAGTACGAAACATTGAGAGCGAGGGCAAGAAGGAACTCAGAGACTTTGAGGTCAAGACGTGATTGGGTGTGACTAGACCTGGTGACTGGACTCAAGTTCGCAGCAAGGCAGCGAAAAGGAACTGCCGCAGGTTCACTTCGGGACCAGCTTGAGCTTCAAGAAGCACAGGGAGCAAGTGAATCCTAACGGCATGAGGTCACGACAAGACGTTGCGAGGGCATCAGAATGATGGAAATTCTCATAGAGATCTGCGCGTGGGGATCGAGGTCGTGAAGGCATACAGCATCATACACATGCGATCAGTCATCAGGTTCTTGCCTTTCATAATTTTATCCTCCTCCTCCTCCTCCTCCTCATCCTCCTCATCCTCCTCCTCCTCCTC